GACGTGTTATCCTACACTCTGAAAACAGATGTAGTATGCTTTTAATACATGTGTGTGTACAGTTACAGTGTGGTCAGATTTTTTAGTCCAAGCATGTGATTAACAGGTAGAGAATGATTTCTAACAGCAGTGGCAGTTACATGTATATTTTATATAATGTTGCATCCATACAATGGATAATAAAAATCTGCTACACACCTCTGATAAAATGGCAAGTTTTTGTGATGTAAAAAAATGAAAATCATGCCAGAACTTTTTCCACCCTCAATGCAAAATTACAACATATAAAAATTAAGTGAAAAGCAATCAGAAACATTTTAGGAAAAAATAGGAAAAATAAAAAAGTTACAATCTGATTGCATAAGTGTGCACACGCTTTTATAATTGGGGATGTGGCTGTGCTCAGAATGAATCACATTCAATCTCATGTACAAAATTAATTATCGTACAGATGTCAATGAAATTATTCTGATTAACCCCAAATAAAAATCAGCTGTTTCTGTAGGATTTTCTTGACCTCTACTTGGTTTCATCTGACTGCTGAAGCTGCAAAGTGCTTACATAGCATGTATGGCATCTCACTTGTCGAAAGATATCAATGAGTAGAGGGGTATAAAGGAATTTCCAAAACATTAGATGTACCATGGAACACCGTTAAGGCCATCATCAACAAGTGGAGAAAATGGGGCACCACAGTGACATTACCAAAGCAAGACGTCCCTCCAAAATTTACAAAGGTTCAAGACAAAAAAAAAAATACCAGGGAGGCTGCCAATAGACCTACAGCAACATTAAATGAGCTTCAGGAATATCTGACAAGTACTGATTACTCTCTGCATGTGATAATCTCTCGTATTCTTCACACATCTGGACTATGGGGTAGGGTGGCTAGACAGAAGCCCTTTCTCACGAAAAAAGCATCCAAGCTCAACTAAATCATTTAGGGCCTGACATGAGTAACCTGACCTAATGCTCTTGTGGCTGAATGGGCAAAATTCCAACAGCCACATTCCAAAATCTAGTGGAAAGCCTTCCCAGATGAGTGGAGGTTATTATAACAGCAAAGGAGGGAATAAATCTGGAATGGGAAGTTCAATAAGCATGTATGGGTATTATGGCAAGGTGTGCACAAACTTTTGTCTATATAGTATAGTTAAAAGGATGGTAGATATTTACTGTATTTACATGTACTCATATGAAATGGTATCGGCATGGGGAAGAATGAACTATGAGCTTACTGCAGAGGCTCTGAGCATAAGCAACTGTCCAGTTACCTTAAAATTAAATTAAGCATATTGACACTACAGCACGACTTTCATAATATTTCACACAAATCTTGTTTCATTTGTACTTACGGAAATTTTGTCTGCATTTGCAAGTGCTCCAACTAGCTCCACCAGTATTGCTGAATGCCTGAGATATGTCCAATACATTATTTTAATGAATACTAAGAACACCATACATTACCTTCAAAAAATCACATTTTGTCACCACCTGTATTATTTATCTCCTATTTATCTGCCTAAAGAGAAGCTAAGTCTGGGACACAACATGTCTTTTTACTTCAGATGAATGTTTTTGTACTGAAAGTAACCATGTTCTACTGAAACTCACAATGCATTATAAGAATTCTGTGTCGTCACCCTATGATTTGATTTGATTTGTTTCATGATTTTAGGAACAAAGATAAATGCATGTTCAGATTAACTTTAGGTTAGAGGGAAGAATGTTGCCTTGAGAGAAGGATGTGTTAACCACATAATTTACACATAATGTACCATTATCTGCTGATTGTTTCACAAACAGTTACATATTCTAAGGCATATAAACATTTACATACAAATTCTACACATGGTTTTATAACATTTATGTATTGAGCTTTTCTGTATAGATGCAATGGTATGCATTTACTGTATCATAACACTGAAGGTAGTCTTTGCTCTTGTTCATGTTCATGTGTTTCTATGCCCTATCAATCGATCACATAATTACAGAGATCTTTAATTTAAAAAATGGACATGTACAAAGTAATGCATTTACTCCAGGCAGTGTTGGCACAGTGGTTAAGGATCTGGGCTAACAATCAAAAGATCATGAATTCAAGTCCCAATACTGCCAGTCTGCCACTGTTGAGCCCTTTAAAACTTAGCTGCTACAGGAGCACCCTTTCCTGGCTAACTCAATGCCAGGATATGGGGAGGCTCTCTCCCAGTCTGGTTTATGCACAACACAATGTGTGCTTAGTAAAGTCTACCTTGCCAGACATGTGCAAATTAACCCAATGAAAATTAAAGTAAATAACACCTAATATTTGGTTGCATATCCCATGCTTGCAATAACTACATCAAATTGGCGGCCTACTGATATCACCAAACTGTTGCATTCTTCTTTTGTGATGCCTTTCCAGGCTTGTACCACAGCTTCTTTCATTTGTTGTTTGTTCTGGGGTGTTTTTTCCTTCAGTCTCCTCTTCAGGAGGTTAAATTGGGTTAAGGTCTGGTGGGTTAAGGTCAAGCTCTCCTCCAGCTTGGTTTATGCACAACCCAAAGTGCTGTTTGTACAGTCTGCCTTACCAGACATGTGTAAAATCAACCCTATGAAATATGTCCTATGTGCCAGAGATGCGCTTTAGACTTGCGGCCAAAAGGCCCTAGAATGCAGAGTACAGGTTTCAGAATCAAAAAACCACCATGGCCAAATTAACTGGCTACATGGCACCTTTAGAATACCGTGTTCCTACTTCCATAATGGTGCCCTGAACTTCACACTAGCCCTAGACAATAAGAGTCATACCCTCAGGGCCCTAGCAGATGCCTGAGCACCTCCCATTCACTTCACGTGGCAGGCCCTCCACTAACAAAGGACCCCATGGAGCACACCCTTGAAAGACAGGTTCTGGCTGTGGTGCAATTTTTCAGCTGAAAACACTGCTTATTTAGCAATGCCTTTATTAGTACATTGAATCCTGATTACAATATTGCAGCAATAAAAGACTCACTGAGAATACTAGCCACCATACCATTGCAGTGTGTGACAGATATTGTATTTGCTATTTAGCAATAACAGATATTTACTAAGACTGTTATGTGTGGTATTGTACCTGTTGAGGATGCTAGGATGCTATTACTGACAGCATCCTCAGTGGTAGTGCCATTTGGCTTGCTGGAACTAAGAGACTTTCAAATATCACAATGAGAGGCTGATGTCGCAGTATTGAAACAGCAAGGCCGAAGAGCAGCAAAAATGAGAAACGATAATTTTTTTTCATCTACCACATCTTCCCAGCTCAAAAAAAAGGAGAAGTGAATTGATCACAAGGAGGCTGTGGAGGAAACATGAGGAGCACAAGGTCACATTAAACCTCAGTCTATTGTATAAAATATATGATCTAATGCCTCTCTTATAAATGTATAACGCATGATGGAATCTGACTAAAATCACTCCAAGTTGTTATACACATTAAATAACTGGTTGTTGAGTTACCATTCTGTACCATCTCCATACACTATTCTGTCCTTAGGCTGCTAGAAAAAGGGGATATGGTGGGTTGTGGGGGTTTGAGATTGTCACACGAGTCTTCCTGTATGTGTGTGTGTGCGTGTTTGTGTCTATCTCTCTAGGTATCTATCTATACAATGTATATATTTATGTATGTATATAAAGTACTGTATATTGGTGCTTTAGAGATACCTTTAGACTGCAGCTGATAATTTGATTTTGTTCTCATTCCTGTGATTTGTACCTGTAATGGCTGTGCATTAAAGACAACTTCAAATTATACTATAAACCTTGTTTGCAGTTTCTTCATCACTGAAAAGTATTTGCTTTTGGGGAGGAAACATGTGCTCACCTCAATGAGAAGGGCCCGAGTTCTTGCTGATGATGCAAGGCACTCCTAATGAAAGAAGTCTGTTTGGGAGCAGGACACCACTGGAGACAGATAGTAATCACAGACACCTCCTTCACTGGCTGGATGGCAGTGTTGTGCCAGGAGGCATGTTCCCCCACAAGTGTGAGGTCAGAAGACATCAACCTGCTAGAATTCAGGGCAGTCTATGTGAATTTAAAAGTCTTTTTTTTACCAGTTCTGTGAAGTTGTCACATGCTTGTCTGCTCAGATGTCAAGACAGTCAGATACATTAATATCTCCAATTTAGCCTTACTGAAACCAACTCACCTACAGGGTCTGTACAATGGTGAAAGCAATGCTACCAATCTGTGGCTCATTCTAGCAGAGTCAGACAGCACAATGGGACAGGATGAACTGCCCTACACCTGGGCCTATTATCTACTGTATGCCTTTTGTCCTCTTTCTTCCTCTAGCATGGATTCTTCCCACATACAGAATTATGTATCTGTTTCCAAAGAAGTTAGATATTCTGGGGCCATTGCACCATGCTACAAGCCCATGGGTGGCATATCTCTGGAGTGTCATAAACATATTATAATAAGCATGTTCCTTTGTATAATGGACCTGTTTTGAGGCCTAAATGAAGTAAACTCTGTTCTTTTTCACTGCATTTTCAGTGAGAAATGTCTCCCACTCCAGCTCAGGTCTGTTATGTGGCCTCAGACCTCAGCTGTTATTTTCACTCTAGGTCTTTTTTACTTGGGTCTTATCTTTTCCTGTCCATTTTGCCTTTCCATCCACAATGAAACTGTGGATGGAACATACAGTAATTTTCCATTCACTCTCCAATGCGGATAAATCCCTTTTTCACATTACATAATAATAAAAAATGTTGCCTTTCAACATGCTGGGAAATGATTGTCCTAATATCTCCACATTGACTTTATGACTTTATTGTGCTTGTATTCAATTTGTACACCTTTAAAAGTATTTTAAGTACCTCAAATTATCTGTCCAGACAAATAAGTTATCTGGTTTCTTTTGTGCCACTAACCTCTACCTATTCACACTCCACGCAACTGCAACATCAAAACAAATGAAATCTGTGGAAATGGCTTAAAAATTATGGGACAGACACCCAGTGTGCATGACCAGCATGATGTTTTTATGGTTTATTGTAGATGGTGAAACGTTCGTGAATTGCACTGAAAAGCTAGAGTGGCCAAAAACAATATATAAAAACAGCATTTTCAAATTATTGTGTGCGAGTGTGAACTAGGCTGGGGCAACGGGTGGCCATTTCAGTGACAAGAGTGAATAAGCAAAATATTGTTTATGCCAAATACACGACAAATTTCATGCCCATGCTCCCATAATACAGTCTTAAGTATATCACACATACACATTATCCTCATTGTGTTAGTTGTTTTTTTTTAATTATTGACTTTTAGCTGCAAAGCTCAGAGGAGTCCTTACAAACCCCCCAGTCCCATGTAACCTAAAGTCAACAACTAGGATTTGAAAAACATTTGACCTGTGGGATGAAGTCAACATGCAGGGATGCAAATATTTTAGGTCTCTGGGTGGATGCCCGAGTGGTGATAATGAACACCATCAGCTCAGATGTATTCACTTTGCGGGTTTTGTGATACTGTAGCACGTTCACTGACTTAGTCGTCAACATACTTAGTCTTATCAGCTCGGTCTAGGTAAGAAAACATAGTCATAGTAATTTCATTATTTCATTTCCTTGTTATATTTCATTAAATATATTATTATTTTTCAGGCCTTGTAGTTACAATGGGGGGAAAGGCATCTCTGAATAATTCAAATTTAACACGTTTTATGGCAATTCTGACCATGGAATCATTGGACATACCACCATCCAGTGTTTTTTCTGCATTTATCTTTAGCACCCTCACATACTGTTTAATTTTGCTCTTCAACTCCGCTTTACTTGTGACTATTGTTGTAAAAAGGGATCTGCATAAGCCTATGTACTTATTGCTGTTTAATTTGTCCATATGTGACCTTATGGGAGCTACAGGTTTTTACCCTCAGCTGATTTGTAGTATATTTTCTCAGAGTAGAGAAATCTCCTACCCTGCCTGTGCTTTGCAAGGCTTCTTAATTCACCTCTATGGAGGAGGATCACTTTTATTTCTTACCGTTATGGCTTATGACAGATACATTGCCATTTGCAAGCCTTTGAGATACAATAATCTGATGATACAAGGTACATTGGTGAAGCTTATTTGTATGGTCTGGGTTGTAAATTTGGCTTTGGTTGGGATTTCGTTTACACTCACAATAAGCACAGAAATATGCAGGACAAATATAGTGGACATGTACTGCAATAATCCTTCTTTAATGAAGTTAATCTGTGAGGATACGAGAGTGATGAACTACTATGGCTTGTTTACTGTATTTCTTGTACAAAGCTTTTCTATACTGATAGTATCATTAACATATATCAAAATCCTATTTACATGTCTTTCTAGTAAACAGGCAAAATCTGTAAGTAAGGCAATGCAAACCTGTGGGACACATTTAGTTGTTTTTCTGAGTTTTGAAATTAACTCACTCTTCCTATTGACATCTCACAGGGTAGAAGCAGTATCTCCACACTTAAGAAGGGCCTTTGGTATTTCAATTGTTATCTTTCCTCCAATTCTTAATCCTCTAATTTATGGGTTGAAAACAAGGGAAATTCGACAAACAGTGTTTAAGTTCATACAAAGACAGGTTTCTTCTTTCTAAAAGGAAAATAACTAAACGCACGTACATAAGCTTCTGCATTTTACTACATAAATTCTGATTAAAAATTTACTAGGCTTTTCCACCACATGAAAGTAAAGTAAGCATCGGAAATTATGCACTGACATACCAATGGAATATATGCATATTGATTTTTAACTTCAATCTACTCCTGTTATTAAAAAAATAACAATTAAATAATGACTAACTTATATACTGTACGTTTCAGCAGATAAATGGAAAGCATAACAGGAAAGACTGCCAAAATTAAGTACTGACTAGAAGACCTAAATTTAAACTATAAAGTTCAATCATCTAAATAATTCTCTGTGCTGTTATGAATATCAGTATTAACACACAGTATGATTATGGAAACATTATATTTAGAGTGTCACAAATTAATGTAGAATTCATGCTGAAGTTACACAAAAAGCAATTAATCGATCTTAAAGTACAAATCTCCTTTGTTTGATGTTGAGTATCGATAGCTTACGCTTTTTTGGTTTTTCTT